AAGGTGCTATTTCTCAAGGCCACAACATCTTGGTCTTCATATATTTAATTGTACTGGTTTATTCGAACGGACATCACTCACTGACAACGTCTTCGATTGATTACCAAAAATCCCCACCCCCCTCTTCCTCATCGCAATCCATTTTCCTCCGGTTAGCGATAGATCCCTGATCCAGGCGTCTCCTTTTTGATGGTCTTGCTTTATTCTTGTTTTCCTCGATCTTGCAAAGTTATCACTAACTCTACCTTCCTCAAATCTCCTATTCATTAGATTTTTCTCCTCAAGCATGTAAATGACCTCTCTAATATTTTACCTTCTTGTGTTTTCGCCGTATGAGGCCCTTCTATCTTTTGTCTTCCAATCGATCTTGTGTCCAATCTGTGCGACGTGTTCCGCTAATTTTGATATTTCGGTATCCATTTTTCTGCTCAGCTTTTGATGTTCCTTAATTCGTATGCTAATGTTTCTCCCTGTTTCGCCAATATATTTCTGTTCGCATGCACTGCATGATATACAGTCAATTCCTGAATAAGTCTATTTGTCTACCCTTTCATGTTGCATCAGTAGATTTGTGAAGTGTCGACATTTCTTTCATGGCCACCTGAATATTCCATTTCCTCAATATTGGCCGTTGTTTTTGAGTTAATTTGCAGGAAGGTAGGCATATCCACTTTTGTGAATCCTTCCTCCTCTTACTGTTCTTTCATAGTCCCCATTCTGCCATCGACTTTTCACGGCTTGTATGTTTCTTTGTATTACTTCGCTTGGGTAGCCATTGCCAAAGCTGTGATATGGCGGGAGTTGCATAAGAGGGTAAAGAGTTGATAGATGGGCCACGACAGAAAGAGGAGTGATAGTGTAACCGTTTTCGGCAGAACTTTGGCCGAGATATTGACTTCACTTGTCTCTGACGAATTCGTAGATTGGTGCGGAGAATGCACCAAGTCCACGGTCTGATGCTGGAAATTATGATAACCACTATGGCAGAGGACTTCGGACTAAGTGCGTTCTACTAAGTCTCCCGGACAACAGGATCAATTTGTGACAACGATGTCAACCAACTTCTATAAATTGAAAGGAGACTGCGACCATACCTGGAGCCAGACCATCTTGGTCTTTATACCTTCGATTAAATAAGTCAAAGATCAGGTACTTTTGATGTCAGTTATTACCTGAATTCGGCCTGGCAGTTAGGTTAAACTATAATTAACCATTAATTAATTAATTTTTCCCTTAAAATAAGACGATATATGATCTAACGCATGTATGGGCTCCGTAAAGGTTGATAGTAGTCTGGCTTTTTGGGGTAGGCTTCGCATTGGCGGACCTGAATTATTCAGGAACCGCTAAAAGTTATGAAATATGCTTGTTTGACTGTAGCATAAAATACGAGTTTACATTATCGAGTCTGGTTTCATTGTAAAATGTGAATTACGGAGGCGTGATTTGCCTCCAAGGCAAATCTGCCCTCTGACCCAATGGCAGGTAAAGAGAACTGATACGAGGAGGAACAGAATCTAGAAGACTTTCTTGTGCATTTACTTCGTTTGAAAAAGGCGATGTATCGAGGAATCAGGGTCACGGAACGGTGTGCAGATGACGTTTTCGGATAAATCCATAGTCGCAACCCTGAGGCAATCGCCATTCGACTTCTACTGAGACCATTTTATGAATCTCCTCCATTGGCCTTTTTCATGCTAACTGAAAAGTACCGATGATATTCAATGGCATCGAGAGGTCTTCAACTTGGTTACTTCTTCGGGCTCTGGTGTTAGTTAAAAAACCCACTTTCTTTGTATATGGAATCACTTGGAAGCGGCCGATGACAGTTTCTTATATTCTCCATCCCAAAGAAGTCTGTGATGGTGACGTGCCCAAAGGAATAGAGGCAGAACTGCAGAATCACATCTACAGCATCAGAGGCAGATGGTCCCGTTGGGGCAATAAAAGAGAGTCGTCTTATCGATCTTCTCCCGTACACAGGGCCTGTCGGCCAAGTTGGATGAAGGCATGGGCAAAGATTCAGATAATCTCTGCCATCACAGTAATCTCGACTGGTCCACCAGCGCTAGTTTTGTCCGTCTGTCTGTCCAAACACAATTCAGTTCACCTCTGGTTGCAGGTTCCGAGGACCTACACACCATTGCACACAGGCACACAGGCAGTCTGGAGTAAGGCATCTGATGTGCCCACGTCAACCGGCCTGTGTGGTTTTGTGCGTCGGCATGGCCACCAGAATTGGCAGCAGGCCGGTGCCTGTGACCAAGCCGGTTGAAGGACGCCGCAGTCCAATCGTCTTGCTGCACAATCCTGTCTGCCTCGTAGTTCCTGTTCGTCTCCGTCTCCAGGCTCTCGCTACAGCCCCGAAGGCTGGGCTCTATGCCATCCCATCCGAAATGACGATGCCCCCGTTGCTGTGGGCACACTTGCCATGCCGGCATGGTGAGGTGAAGAGAGAGAGAGAGAGAGAGAGAGAGAGAGAGATAAGAGGCAGTAGATAGACATGAGGAAAGGACAGAACAGCAGAAGTATCGTAAACACAGTGACGAGCAAGACGTGAAGAGACATAGAAGAGAGTGTGTCATTGCAGCACAGTTTATGAGCAGTTAACTGGATTTAATGAGCCAATAGACTTTGCTTTCGTTCGCAGCCATAAGAACTGCACCTTTTTCTCCCGAGCTGGAGAATAGGGAGAAAAGGGAGAGGAAGAAAACGAGAAAAAAACCAGCTACATCTTCTCGTAACGGGCACCTGACTCGACTCCTCATCTCAAAGGCTTTCTAGCACACAATACACGCCAGTATTCCCATCGCTCCGACGGCCCGTTTGCTTCGTTGATCCTGCTTGAAGTCGGCCAGTTGTGCGCCGTGCTTCTTGGACCCGTCGAGTTCGCAGGATTTGCCATCTTCTGTCCGGTCCAGATTCGCATGAGTCCCCTCGAGGCAGGAGCGATCTGAGTCAGTCGACTCTGCTCCCAGCCGCTTCTTGACCGTTTCGTCCGTGCCTCTTCGGCCCATCCGCATTGCCTCAGCAGTGCCCAGTTCAGTTCATCTCTTCTCGGGAGTATTGTCTTCATTTGTGCCCAATGGGTGAATTCCACGGAATTCGCTACCAGGACGGCATGAGCAAAGGTGGGGTGATGGAGGCAGACGTAAAATTGATGCGATACGGGTACGAACAACCCTGGGGATTCCGACTTCAGGGCGGACTCGGCACCGGGACTCCGCTCACTGTACAGAGGGTAAGTACGATTTATTTCCATGAAACGTGAAACGTGTAGCTCATGGCCAGTCTGGTTTCAACCTTGACGGAAACTTCTTCTGCATCCAAAACCATTGGTTGGTTTGTTTCATTGTGACTGACTTCCTGTGTGGTGATGCGTCCACGAAGTGGGAAAAAACACTCCAACAAAGTCGGCACTAAATGCTGCCAAATGGCATGGCCAATCGCCTGGCGACATTATAGCCGTTGCTAGGCCAGTTCGGCACTAGACTTCACGGCATGTCAGACACTTAGACAGTTACGATGACGGTTACTAAGGCCTTCGGGCTCGCTTCTTATCTCCTCTCCTGACTGGGGGCATTATTCACCGGATCAGTCGATAACAGGGCAGAAATCGCGTCAAAAGCACGCTATTAAGCCGAATCAGAAAAGGTCACATCTTTCAACATTCTTCCATTCCAAGTTTGGAGTGTGTCGATGACACTGTTTCGGGCTGGACGAACGTTTCGACCTCGCCTCATCATTTCATCGGCAACTCTGACGAGCTTTGATACAGGTCATAAAAGAACCTGAATAAGAGTTGTAGTCAGCCCAGGTCGAAAATGGTGATTGAGGACTGAAACTGTAGACCAGTCCGGCCTGAATGGGAATACCTTTTGGGAAGCAAGGCTAAGTGTAATCTACTGGAAAAGCGAAGCCAATTCCTATAGATCAGCTGATAGCCCGAGGCCTTAGTGACTGTTTTTTCGTCGTCTCTTGTCCAGCTTGGTTCAGAAATGCTCGGTTCGTGTAGCCTTGACATGGGAGGGCAGAGAATCTTGTTTTCTTCCTGTTATTTTAGAAGTGAAAAGGTAAACCAGAGGCGAAAGGGGTCGAGGCCGTGGAGGCCTCCTGTACGGTGGGAAAAAGACAGTTTTATGCTAAGTGCTTCAGCATCACACACTAACTTTGGCTTCCCGTGCTACCCTATGTACGCACATTGGTTTTTTACTTGTGCATAGGTCAGTCTCGGGTTCATTCGATTTCGATAGAATTGGAGTGTGGGGTTGTAGTCTCCATGGCCAGTTTCTCCTCTCCGTTGGATGGAGTTTTCCTTTCTAGTCAGCCTAAGATACATCTCATATAACTGATTTGCTGGCAGCCTCTGAACCCAACAGACAAAGTAAAAATAAGTAATGTATGAAGACCAAGATGGTGTGACCTTTTGTGTGGTCGCAGTCTCCTTTCGGTGTATAGAAGTTGTTTGAACTTGTTTTCGCAACTTGGTCATATTGGCAGGAAGACTTAGAGGAACGCACCTAGTCCAGAAGTCCATTGTATGCATCATCATTTCCAAAGTAGGACCGTGGACGTTGTACATTCCCAGACGTTTCGCCGGCATCGTATTCGGCATCTTCAGTGAGTCTCGCCATTCGTAAAACCATATTACAGCTCGTCAAAGAGACAAGTGAAGCCCATCCTTTGACTAAGCGTGTGCTAAACAGTTGTGGTACTACATTACATTAAAAATAAGCACGACAAAAATTGTGTCAGGAAAGGCATGATAAGAGGATATGGGAAATGTGAATAGCCCAGGGCAGAAGGGAATATACCACAACTGTTTACCACACGTTTGGTCAAAGGATGGGCTTCACTTGTCTCTTTGACGAGTTGTAATA